GTTACCCGTGTGTTAATTATAAACAAATGTTCAGTACAAGAAGAACAATCTTTCAAAATTTCATTCCGACTGTAGGCTATGAGTCGTGTTATTTTGTCCCTATTTGATTTTCGCCATTTTGGCGCTGATTATTGCGGTAAGGATAGGAACTAATAGTAGAAATAGAAATAACTGTTAACATCTAAGGCGATTTTATGTCAGAACGAAACATCTACGTGTTATATCCAATAATTAAGTAACATTTTAAGTTACCTTCAGCTGAAATATTACATCATGTAAACTACGTCACTTCGCTTACGAAGATAACATCTAAGTGTGGGCTTACATTGACACTTTCATGCAACACTATTTATGAAAATAGTGTCTTCCCTCTCAGCCCTCATTGAAAGATCTGAGATAACAATAAATACGTTGAAGGCAATAGAAACCCACGGTTAATGTCAACCTTGACCATGTGATCACCAAGCATGTCGGACAAATGTGTTTCGTTAATAAATAATATATCACCAAGTCCTAGACGAATGAATACTTACAGGAAAATAAAAGACAGATAAATACTAAGGATTAGTAAGTATTTAATAGTATTTCAATAATGTTTTCTTTTAACCGACTTCCCAAAAGAAGGAGGTACTCAATTCGTCTGTATGTTTTTTATGTGTTTTACAGCATAACTCCGCCGCTAGACCGTTTTTGATTATTTCTTTTTTTATCCGAAAGGTTATGCTGGCAGGTGGGTCCCATTTTTTGTTTTATTTTTTTTTAATTAAACCTCCTCTTCAGTTGTTTATACGCATGAGAGGTTATTTTATATTAGAGGGAAATTGCTTTTTCCATTCTGTTCGTGACAAATAATAATTTTAATATCACAAAATTATCTAAATAAAATTACAAGGTGTTCTTTATAAGACATCAATAAATTTTATAGAATGTTTCGCTACAGATGTATTGAAATATTTTCATAAACCTTACAATTACGAGTTAATTAAGCAATGTGTAATTTATTGCTTATATATTTTAGAAATAATCCATTAACTAAAGCTAATTGGTCAATTGACACTGAGTAAACGGTTACCAGAATTTATCGTCGGTTATTTATAAAGCATTTAAATAAAATTTACATGAAGCGTCATGAATCTATAAAACACGTGCGTAGAATTGATGATCTGTAGTTGATTGAATTATCCGAGTTTGCAAACTTTTAGTTATCCAATAGACTTTCAGGTCAAAATTAAATAAATTAAAAGTGAATTTCGAAACAAAACCTCTTCAGGTGTTGAAGTTGCGTCAATTCTTTACATTTTTAGTTCACTTTGGTAATCAAAAAAGTAACCCAGTTGATTTGAAGTAGGCATAGTACAACTTAATATAAGGTCTTAATTATAATCTTTGTTAATACTCATTATTGTAACATATTTTATTTATTTTTATATAAGTGTTTTCTACTTTTAGTGATACTTCATATCAGTTCTTATTTGACTTCTGTACTTACTCTTATGTCTGAATCGTCTACATCTTAAAACACCCTGAGGGATAGTATACCGAAAGCGATCCCTCCCGGTGGAAGAAAGTGAGGAGGAAAAAAAAAAAAAAAAAAAAAAAAAAAAAAAAAAAAAAAAAAAAAAAAAAAAAAAATAGATACTATAAGAAATGTCTCTGCAAAACTTATAACATCTTAAAATTTTTACTTACGTTAAAAAGCGTGTACAATATTGTGAATTTATCACTTACGTAACATTACATAGTGAATACCAAATCGACGCGTGCGCACGAAAACCTGTCTTACGATAAATATTGAGTGAACGATTTTATGTTTGAGCGAAAAATCAATTAAAATGCAAGATGTACACCCGCATAATACGAAGAATAGATCACGAATCTAATGAATTTGTGATGTTTCGAAGGTCAATGAATCTTGTCATATCACTATGCCTAATTTTAGCAGTTTGAACCTAATAAAGACGTTTTTTACAACGTATTGATAGTAAAAGCGAATTAACTGCATGATCACAGCAATATACAGAATTTATTACAAATATAACCACTTGTTTCTAACGCAGGATTCTTATTTATATTTAATACTAACTGTTCCAGTGCTGCTTCATCCGCATGAAATTATGAAAATTTTATTTTTTTGCTTACATTTGTCAAATTATCAATTGCAAATGTCAAAATGACATGACATTGTGACAACCTTGCTTCCTTGATGGTGGCAGCAACTTATCGTCTCTTTCCCACATCAGGCTTTTTGTCCAAAATATTTACCTCCTAAGTTTAATGACATGAAAACATATAGCCTAAATCGTGACGTAAGTGTAGGGCTTTTTATTAAAAAAATAATTATTGTGTTTACGCTTTATTATAATAGTATAGATTTGTTGCGATTCAAGAATTGTTAATCACGTACTTTTAACGTTTTGGTTACACAGATGTCAGTTTAGTTTATAAATTAAAGGAAATGGGAAGATTTTCTAAAACTACGTTATACGAGTAATTATCGTTAATAAGAGATGATTTTAAGGCGTGTTGATCACTCAAGTTCTGTGATATGCAAACGTAATTATTTTCCAGTCAATGGGCGCTGTAAATAGAGAAATATCAGAGCTACTAGACGTGCTATATCATGTTTCTCAAGGTGACCATGAATTATTCTATGTTTTGTGTTAACTCCTTGTCACCTCATTGTTACAACCCTAGAGAATGTATTAAAATAGGACTGGATATTGAAACGTCAATAGCCTAATAATAAACGGACATCCGATCACGTCATTGTAAATTTGAACGTAGCATTTGTCAATCATAAACAATATCCTAGTTTAGAGCGGGCGCATACTTGACTAAACTATCCCACAACTGTCCATCGTCGATTGTTTCGCAGCTAATTCAACTGTTTAGTTGCACAAAATCGAGTAGTGTGCGCACTCCCATATAAGCTCATAGGAATCAAAGCGCAACTACGTTGTAAGATAGTTTAGTCAACGGTGCGCGCGCTCTTAGTATTTAAATGGAGTGGTTACAAGAAACTGCTATTATGAAAATTTCGCGCCTATTCGAATTTTCTAACTATAAAATGTTCTGGTCTACTTGTTGAGTAATTTTGTCTTAAGTAAAGTAATAATTATTTAATCAATTTGAAACTTGTACATTCTATAGTAGACATGATTTGGTCATTAATCCAAAAATGTAAAACAAACATGTTTTTACACGTTAAGGTTTAATAAAGCGAGGTAAGTCATTCGACCTCCATTCGATCGCTTTAGATACCCAAGCATTGCACCTCATACATTTTAAAACAGTTATCGTTACTTGATGTTTTACATAGTTTTGTTTTCGTAACATTTCAAAGAAAAATCACAGCACTATAAAAGAAATTACACGTATGTTCTTTGGCATTTTAAGACCGCTACAGACGCGGAGTTCGACACTTCAGTTAAAACTAAGCGAATGTCGGGCTTTAGATGTTGGAGGTGGTTTAAACTTTGAAACGATACTATTTAGTTTATTCAAGAATTTTAATAAACCATCTGTACACTAATGTCAATCCATTGAAGATGTATTAAATAACACAATAATCCTTAACATGTTTTCAAAGGAATCTTTTTATACTTCTATGTGTGAAAACTTTTTAAGAATACTGTGTGTTAAGAAGGAAGACCGAAGAAAGTATGGATGGATTGTGTGAAAGAGGATATGCTTGAAGGGAGTGGATTCAGAAATGACGGCTGATAGAAATGTACGGAAGACCACATACTGTGCTAACCATCCGTAGGGAAAAGGGCAAGTTGATGACAATGTGTGAAAACTTTTTTGTATACTTATCTGGGATATGTTGCCATGTCATAGATACATCTTCCATAATTGGCAACAAGTAGCTATTAAGAGCAGAGTTTGTGGAATGAACCCCAGTACTAGTAAAATTAAGTAATTAAACTAAATATAGACAGAATTGCCGTTAAGTTGAGTAAAAGGCGTTAAGAGTTTGTTAAAAAAAATAGTTATTTGGTTGCATTAGCGGTTTTATATAATTAATTAAATAAAGAAAAAGATAGTATTTAGAAAGATTAAACTTTAAGATAATGGGTGTAGATGGAAAGACAGGATACTAGACAGTAATGCTATTTCTAGTTTATTTCACCTATTGCAATCAGCTTGTACGCCTTTAACACAAAAACACAAACACTATGTAACATAAAAAGGATAGATTTGTATTTTTGTATGTAATGAATGAAAGAAAAAAACTACTCGAACGCGCGAATGAAGTCGCTGACAAAAGCTAGTTTGTATTCATAATTAAGAAAGAAAATTACACATTGACCAACCACTAGAAACTCTACCTTCTTATAGTCGTTAAGAATTACAAACCCTAAAGCTTTATTAACCTTTAACCTCGTGCATCTCGAGCGACCTTTCATAAATGTTTTTTGCAAGTATTTTTTTGGAAAAAACATCTAATTTTGGATAAAGTTCTTAAATCTAAAACTTGTATATTACATGAAACAGATGTTTTTAATTTTTAATAGAACTCACCTCTGTAGTTAAGTTACCTGATGGTCAGGGGTTCGAAGCCGTATTATAAAGTGTGTTACGATCATTTGAACATAGTATCTCCATATTTACTTATAATATCTCTATATTACGTACTATTAATTTTTTACATTCTATGCTCTACGAGTGTAGGGTTATCTGCCCCATTATGATAAGGGGAAAAACGATCTCTTATAGAAAGTTCGAGGAACAAGAGCATTAGCTTAAATGATATAATCATCAGAGTTACTGCGATGATGGCTTGAATTTTTAAAAAATAACAAGTTAGATCAGAACATGTTTTTATACAAGTGTTTCAACAGTGGAAACTCAGGGGAGTTTAAAAGTTAGATACATTTTAAATTATTTAATAAAAATAGTAACCAAAAATTTGACCCTGTATATAGTTGTAACAGCAACATCCAGGTAGTTTTACAAAATTAAATGTTCTAAATGCGTTGTAGGTAGTAGATACTTACAGAAGTAATATCTTTTGTCTGACTGTTGACCCCAGCATAACACCGACCACTGTTTTTTAACACCGGAGCAGTTGAAATGCGCACGCGACCATCCTGAACATCCCGGCAAGTTGCCTAGAGCTGTGTCCTCTCTGATCAGTATCTTCCCCACGCCATTGTTTGGAGTAATAATAACTATCTTCTCCCCCTTCTCCCCATTCTCTCTCGGCAGCATTAGACTGGTTGACGTCATTTTCTCCAAATTCTGATGTTCCATTTTTTTTAATCTTACACTAGTTTCATGTTACACTAATATCTGAACGTGTCTGGTAACAGACGTCCGCCCGCGTCAATGCCCAGTTGTCAACTGATCTTTCGCTCTGGGTCAACTCGTCTTATCACTGACTTATTTTTTTCCAGAGTATTGGTTTAAATGGGTTATCATTGTTTTACGATTTATGTATTTCGTGATATTAAGTGTTTTTTTTTCTTACGTTTATTCGTAATTACAATCCACAATTAACATCTTTATAACAAACAAACGGCAAAAAATCGTTTAACAAATTATTAGCATTTCCGCACTTTGAGAAATAACCATTCAACAAACTAGTACATAAAAGCCTACTGCCGAAGAAACGTGTATATAATTTTAGTAATAAAAAAGGAAGAAATTTTATTTGACAAATTAACGGTTACTAAAGTTTTTTTAGTAGCTTCATGTATACGAAACTATGGAGGGAATAGAGGAGGGTCTATGTTGAACATGTTGCAGACAAAGGCGTACAAGACTGTCGCAAAGCGATTTACAGCGCTTTTTAATTTATGGTAAAGTATTCTTAGATAGATTACTCACCTATTTATCTCAATTTTGAAGAAAATTATGGTATAAAGACTCTAAATATAAGAAATGGTTATTTTTTTTTCGTAAGCCATGCCATGCCGCCTAAGTCTGCCAAAAAGGCGAAGCGACCGCTGCTAATAGACATCCGAAATTTCAGGTGCATTTCCTACCCTTAATCGATGGTGGAAGAGACGTACATAAAGGGGATATTTCCCCTTGATATGCGTCTCCCCTGCCGTCAATTCCATTTCCTTTTCCCATCGTTTTCTTACAAGAAATGTATGGAAAGAAAAAGCATTGTAAATATTCTTTAGGTTTTACCATTGTGGAAATCACCGGTTATTTTCTACATTGACACAACAAACTGCAATTTGATAAACGAATAGAGTTCATGAACGATTCAATAACGGTGGGATGTTTATTCTGTTACTGACTGATGGCCAATCATCACAAGTGTTCACACTTTGTTGCTGTGACCGTGAGATACAACTGCTATATATGTTTAAGAGGCAGTTGTAATGATAAAAATATTTTTATGTTAGTATAAACGAGAAGAAAAAGAAACAGTAGAATTTATTACAATACAAAAAGAGTATTTAAGTGCATATTGTATTTAAAAATTTCAGTTTTCTCGATATTCCTACAGACATCGAAAATTTATTTATGAAATAGTATTGATAAAAGATTGTGTTTAGACATATACTTACATATGCATGTTTACAAGATTGATTTCATATGACGTATATCTGATTCATACATTTATATGAGCGATATATTTTGTATATAATAGGGGGCTACAAACAATGGAAATTATATTCAAGAGATTGTCGTAGTTCTCGGGTCGTTGTTCTACTTACGAAATTAAATGGAATAATGAATCGGTGGTCGGGACAAATTGCCCCTTCCTGTAACAATTGCGATGCATCTTGACACGCTTACTTGATGATATAACTTTGGGTTTACACTGTCGCAACACCTTCGACAGCCAACGATGATACAAGTATAAACTGTGTAATTTCACGGAAACTATGTAATTGGTCAATTAACTTTTTGCTTATTGAAAATGCTGCTAAATTCTGACAATTCCACTTCAAATGCTGTAGCTTCTACTTAATTTAAAGGCGTATAAAGTGCTATGAAACTTATAGACAATGCTTGTGCTAGATATAAATGTAAAATTGAAGGAAAGCTTCTGCCATTAAAGCGTAAAAGCTCAGTTATTTTGTTGGGATAATTGCGTTCTGTTCTGTACTTCTTATTGCTACACAAGATTAACATTGAGTGACAGTTAGAATATTATTTCTCATAAATACTTTTGTTATCTACTTATTGCGTTTGTTACTTATAACAAAGTATTGCCGCTGCGACAATATTAATCGGAATCAACTTGACCTCATCCAGATAAGGTTGCGAAATGGGGCTTGTTTGGGAAATCTGACACTACCAAATAAATAGGAAATATATATAGTAGTCATCGAAAGATTGTTAACGGAAATCTATATAATTAACCTGAACGGTTGAAGTTCAACAATATGAACAGGGGCTTCGAGGAAACAAACATCTAAAAATGTAATCATAATGGGTTGTAATAAAATGATTACGTGGTGCGCATGTCACCTGTTGTAATTACCGTAGACCGTAAAGTGTTGCGATCAGTCAGTCAAAATCTATTTAAATGAATGTATTGATGTAATTAATAATTCTAGTTTATCAGTAAAACAACTGGATAACGAACGTAAATAGTTATTTAGTATAGACAGTGCAATAAAACAATTAGATAATTGAATTCCTTTAAAATGGCATTCACCGGTATCATTAGAGCTCGGAAAAATGTTTTCGAAGAAGGACGTGTTCCTCTTTTATACGTTCTCACTTTTCTATTTGTTCAATGCAAATCTGATTTCCGCTAAATTGGATATTGTGAGACAATTTAAAGTATTAAATGGATATCCATTGGATTCTCAGTTAAATTTCACCGAATTGGCAACAGAATATGGATATACCGCGGAAGAACACACGGTAACTACTGAAGATGGATATATTCTAACAATATTTAGGATAATCCATGGCAGAAATTGTCAAGGACCATTACGGAAGCCTCCAGTTCTATTGATGCATGGTCTGTTCATGAGTTCAGATCTCTGGATGGATTCAGGGCCTGGCGCAGGATTGGCGTATCTCATTTCGGACGAATGTTACGATTTATGGGTAGGAAATGTTCGAGGAAATTATTATGGTAAAAGACATACATATTTAAATCCTAATTCGATCGAATTTTGGAATTTCACAATTGACGAAATGGGTCGCCATGATGTTCCAGCTATGATTGACTACATAACGAACTATACATCGAGCGATACAATTAACTACGTCGGATACTCTCAAGGTAGTTCTATCTATTTCATAATGTGTTCAGAACAGCAGAGCTACTGTGGAAGAGTACAAGTTGTTATCTTTTTAGCGCCCGGTTCAAGATTAACTTACACAAAGTCCATTCCTTTTAGGTTATTAACTTCAATTTATCAGGTAGGTGCATCTTTCTTAATTGAAGTAGGTATTTATGAAGCTATACCATGGGGTGGTATCATTCAACAACTTGGTTCATTTATATGCAAGGACAATATCACAGCTGATACGACTTGCAGAGACTTTTTGAGCAAATTTGACTCTCCTCATCCTGATTCAATCGAAACGGAGACAATTCGAGTTCTTTTTGGACATTTTCCAGCTGGTACTTCAGTTAAAAATATGCTATGGTACAATCAAGCGCAGAACGTTGATGATTTTCAAAAGTTTGATTATGGCCAGGATATTAACGAAGAAGTATACAATTCGAGTACACCTCCTGCTTACAATCTTAGCGCGACGACGAATCCAACTGTTGTTATAAGTGGAAGAAATGATTTCTTATCTGTACCTCCGGATAATGAATGGTTAGTGAATCAATTGCCGAATGTAATAGAGCATGTTGTGGTGGAAGATCCGCTTTGGAACCATTTCGATGTACCGTGGAGTAAACTCACGAGTAAAGATATTTTTCCAAAGATCACCGATTACTTGTATAGATACAGCAAAGTTGGACGTGGAAATTAAAATTAAACAAAAGTATAATGCTTAACTTAATTAAAATGTTTTACAAGTCTATCTAGATTTTTGTCACATTATCCAAGTCTGCGGTACAATATTAATTTTATTTTAAACTAGCTGTTCCCGTGCGGCTTCATCCGCGTGAAATTATGAAAATTTTATTTTTACATTTGTCAAAATATCAATAGCAAATGTCAAAATCACATTACATGACAAACTTTGGCAATCTTGCTTCCTTGATGTTGCAACAACTTATAGTCTCTTTCCCGCATTAGGGTTTGTATTCAAAACATTTACCCCCTAAGTTTAATGGCCTAAAGCGTGACGTAAGTGTAGGGCTTTTTATTAAAAAAAGAATTATTCAAAAATGTGCTGCAATCGCTGACATCTTAGGCAACAAAGAAATGTGTGTTTACGCTTTTTTTAATAGTATAGATTATCCATGTTTATCAAATTATTTGATAATATACGGTTAAGTAGAGTCTTCTATAAGTACTCTTGTTCTTATCTTAGCTTTATCCAACAATTTGTTCTCCAAAAATGGTTTGTAAATGGATTTCTTAAATCTCATAAACTCATTTGTATAAATCATGATTGAAGCAAAGTATTCGTTTTATTATCAACTCGATGTCTGGTAATTTTTCATGATAAAAACGAGTAAAACATAGGCCGTTTAAACTAACAAATTTGTATGTTTTTATAGCGAGGTCTGTAGGTTATCTATAGTGGTTTTACATACAACTAATAAACTTATTTTATCATTGTGTAAAGGAATGAAATACATAAATTGGTTATTGAATATGATACAAGGAAATTATTTCGTAGTCTTATGATTATTAAAAAAAACTTTACAGTAATGGATAAGAAAAATGTACTATTTATGCCTCTACGTTTAACTAAAAAAGTGAAAAACAATTGAAAACGAATAAAAATATTTTCATTCATTTATTTCAAGAACATCGAGTATGTATGAATAATTAGAACTATAATCAAGAAATACTTATTAATAACCGAGATTCCTCATTCTGACTTTCTTTTTTTTATAAATAATAATACAAGTAACTAGTATCACATTTATATTTGGACAAACACGTTTCTTATTTTAAATTTACGTAATTAAGTGCATAAGTAACTATTGAACAGTAGAGCTAAAAGAGAGATAGATTATATAAATAAAGATAGAGCAAATATTAAAAAAAAAGTCTCTTAACTTATAGTAATAATATATAATTCAAATTCAATTTAGACAAGTAGTTTTATTCAATCAATTTTATGTGACTATTTAATAATTTTTTGAATTATTAAAATTTTGGACCCATCGGATTCAACAATATCACTTACTAAAATACTTTTCTTTATGGAGGTATAGATAGTTCAGTTAATTTTGGTTGTTAATAAAATCACAAAAAATCGCTTAACGTATCATAATTTTTAATAGACGTTACGAAAAATACCAAAATCTTTACTTTAATTTATCTATTAATCAAACTAAAATTTTCACGTCGTGTACGTTCTCATAAATTTTCCTAGTTCATCGTAAAAATTGTTATGGCTTTGGATTTACCATTGCCAAAATAATTTAAACTACCTATATAATACCAATAATAAAATGTCTCTGTGCCTTATCACTGGTTTTGCGTTAATTATTTACATTATAGTGAAATTATTCACCCCATTATATCTACGTGTTGTGGCAATCTACTAAAAACAAAAAGATAACGTGCATGCAAATGCTGTAAAAAATTATAGGTTGGCACCACTGCGTTGAAATTTTAAAATAATTAAACAACTACTGAAGGAAATTAATATTTAAAGAATCAAATAAATTATGAATACAATTAACTTAAATAAATCCTTTACGTAAATATTAAAAGCCTCTTTAAAGAAATGCAATCTTATAGGAAAATATAATTAAACAACACGCTACACATCTAACAAAAAAGCAATCAAACAGAAAGGAACATTTATTCTAAACTTTTGGTATGCATAACTGTTGTTTTCCACTGACGTGACATGTGATTGCATACTGTCTCTGTTTTCATCATGAAGAATGTAAGGGATAGCAATATATGTGTAAATGAAGAATTCCATTTTACTGAAGAGCTAGTATTTTTTTTTACATTATAAGGTAGCAAACGAGCAATCGGCCACCTGAATCTGTCAAAATCGCGAAGCGATCGCTGCCCATAAACATTCGCGATAGCGGATGAGTTGCCTACCCTTAATCGACGAAGGAGGAGACGCACATAAAGAGGATATTTCCTCCTTCTATGCGTCTTCCCTTTCCATCCTATTCTTATGAGAAAAAGGGTGGGAAGAGGGTCTTATGAGAAAACGAATTACAGTTGGGCCTCCGGCACCGCACACATCAGACGAAACGCGGAATTGCACCCACTTCACGGCTGTCTTCTGTGTGGTCACGGTATTACACCGGGCGAGCCGGTACATTCGTGCGAAGATGTTAAAGCGGGCTCTACCACTGTTAAAATTACTGTGACATCAATGCGTTATTGTCGGCGAGGAGGGTCTTTGAACAACTGCCACGTGTGCGTCAAGGCCGTCCGATGCTCTTGATGTTCGACGCAACCAACTCCCACTAGGCCTATCTGAAATGGTAAAGAAAGTTATATTTGTCTATTAATAAGTTCGGGAAACATTTTTTTCTCAGGTTCTAGATGGACATGCATTGCCAAAAGATTATTAAATGACGGTCACTTCATACTGACTACATCACGCCCTCTATTATCATATTTTAAGTTAAACTTTATGCCTTACGAATTGTACATTACAGTAGAAAGAAAAAATGGATTGAAAAAGATGTCTCCCTAGAAGTTATACTAAAGACAGTCAGTTTTTCAGATTGTAAATATGGTATCTAGTTCATATCTGTATGCAATAACGTCTAATCTCCATTGGTGGTTAAGTACATCTATGCTAATATAATAAAGCGTAAACACACACTACTTAGTCATGTAGGATGTTAGCAATCACGGTATATTTTTAATTAATTCATTTTTTAATAATTAGGCCTACTTACGACAGGCTTTGGGCTATATATTTTCACGCTATAAAACTTAGGAAGTAAGTAATTAGGAAAAAAACCGTCAAACGGGAAAGGGATAAAAACTACAAGCTGTCATCTAAAAGCAAGGTCTTCATGGTTACCGTAATTGTTAACCAATGTCAAAGAACTTTGTTGTTATTTGTGCATTTGAATTTTGACATTTGCAATTGAAAATGTCACAAATGTAAGCAATAAAATATAGTTTTTATAATTTCATGCGGATGAAGCCGCACGGGACAGGTCGTTGTTAATCCTCACCACCAATGTCACTCTTCTGGGCGATCAGTTGCCTGTATTCAGTGGAGAGACGTCGTCTGCCATGTTCATATTTAACCTCTTTAGCCAGCAATGCCTCGCGTTGCATCTGCGTGCGCAGCTCCGTCGGCACGTCGGGTATGAATAGTTGCATCAGACCGGTCAGACCGAACACCACGTGCTGTAAACGAAGATTTATTGAAAAGATTTGCATCTCTTAGTGATGTCATAGAAGATACAGCTTTTTTGTCGCAATGTTTGTCTAATGTAACCATACTCTTTGTCTTGTATAACGATAACAATTGAATGTCTCTTTTCCTTTCGCAGTTTCTCTGTTTAGTGTATAATTAACGTTTATCCGGTGACCGGATAACTCAATTTAGAATCTTGGTTAATCTGTTCCTTGGATGTGTTGACTCACAAAATAGATCAGGGAAGGAAAATTAGCATCATCCTGGTTAGTAATTAGGAGTCAGCAAATATTCACACAAAAATGTTATCGTTCTAAAATAAATGAGATCACATGTTTCTGTGCATGCAACAAGTAATTGTTTACCGTGAATAACAATAGGAATTTCTGTTTTCTTACCTCGAAGACGACAACGAAGGCAAGCCTGGCTGCGAACACATGCCAGTAGTGCGGCGAGAGGCCGTAGGGCTCCGCGTGCTGCGGCGGGTTGCGGTAGCCGCGGTAGGCGCACGTCGCAGGGTCCACTTCGTTCTCGTCCGCGCCCCAGTCCTCGCGGTAGTCCGATGTGTTGAATACTGATATACATACAAATATACTTTCAGTTCTTGTAAACTTGTGAAGAGATGTTTAGTTACTGAGATACTAGGGAAAGCGAATGTTTAGCAGAAAACTGAACGAGATTGATGATGATGTAGTGATGATCAGTGTTACGTTTGTTTTATGGAATAACCTACTCAATAAACTATTTAATAGAAGAGTTACAAATATTTGAGAGAAAAAATCTTTTATAAAACTTGTAAATCGATGGTGATAAGGAACCTCCCCATCTCTACTTCCTGCTGGTTAGCGTAAGGTTCAAAAAGTGGGATCTTAGAAAAAAAATATTCTTACATGATAATGAATGATCGATGTAACCAGCCAATGTATAGTCCGGCGAGTAGACGTACTTGTAGACCATGCGAGGGATGAAGTCACTTGTGTATGCTATGACGAATGCCTGCACAAAACACAATTATAAAAAAAATAGAATTTAGAATAAATCAGTTAAATACACATAATATGATTGCCATTTGAAAAAATTAAGATACGGAGCTAGCAAGGAAATGAACTGGGAATGTAGTAAAGTACTTACATTAGAAACAACCGCTGCATACGTTATTCCTCTTAGTATTCCATACCTGAAATGAAAAAGCGCTAAGTTTTAGGAGGTAACAATGCTATTTTGTACTACAAAACCGAGGAAATAACAAATGCTTGCAGAAAAAAGTGTAGATAATTCATTTTGCCATTCATTTCTTTGTTTTACGATACTTACCAAGCTCCGATATCCTCTACTCTTTCAGCGAGAGGTCTTCTTGCTTGTGTGACCATTTTGTACGCGTCCAGACGGATCTCTGCGATGTTGTTGAGCAATGCGAACAGCGGCGCCAGGGGGAATGCCGCCACGAATAATGTTACGAAGCCGTACTGGAGAACTGAAACAATAGACCAGTTTGTGATACTGACAAAAAATATTTTCCTAGAAGCGATTTAAATGTATTTCTTTATAATTTCACTAAAGCGTACTCATTTCAAGGTACTCGTCGAAGAGCGCGAGTCGTCCTGGGTCCTGCAAGTGGTAGTCTTGCTCCCATGCCATGTGTGGCTTGCTGGGGTCTCTTGTTACCGCGCGGTGGGACCTCTGGCGCCACCAGTTGTGGAGCTTGCTGGAATAAACAAGGACTGATATTAAAGTAAGTTTTTTTTATTACTTAAAGTAGATGGTGTCAGTTGGAGTTTGCCTTAAGTTTAATAAGTAAGCATGGATAGTGCAAACCATTATAGGGAACAGTTGTCACATAAAATCATAATAAATAATCTATACTAATATTATAATACAAAGAGGAAAGTTTGTGTTGTTGGACTTTTGTATGTATTGAAATAACCTTAAAACTACTGGACCAATTTCAAAAATTCTTTCTTCATTAGAAAGCTACATTATCATTGAGTAACATAGGCTATATGTTTTTACAATTTTTATTTCCACGAGGGCGGAGTCGCGAGCAACAACTAGTCTTAAATTAAAAAAAAATCCAATATTTAGAATGTCGATAAAAAGTAAATACTCACGGAAAACCAAGTTCTAAGAAATTGTTGAAGCACTGCTTCCCAACCATGATGATAGCCAGTTGTATGCACAACTCCGACAAGCAGCCCGCGGGGTCGCAAATGTCGCCTTTTAACTTCAAAAATTCCGACTTGCGAGCTTGATCGTCGCCGGGGTAGTCGTAAAAACGACCCTTTAATAGTTAGAACATCAATTATTAAGCAATCTTAAACTAAATGCAATTTTTAAACAGATTCAGTAACGTTTGATGATTACCTTGAAGAATGCAATGTAGATAAGCGATGAATAGTAATTCATAAATTCGATAAAGAATATTTTAAAGGTATAAGAGTCTTCATATTCAGTCTGCGTTCGAGGATTCTCCATATTTGTTAAATAAACAGCAACCCTCGAATATAACTAAAAATAGAAAAAATAATTCAAAAACTCAATTATAGCACGTTACTTTACGTTACAGTACAAGGAATTCAAGGATTATTCCCAACCGTCACCCCGCTCTGTCCCCATGTTGAGACAGTTGAGAATAAAAAGTTCCATCCATAGCACCTTTTGGGACGAGGGTGCGGTTGGAACTTATTTTATTTCATAACGGTTCCATCTGTCACTTTATTAGTGTTAGTGGGACTAATAGTTGGGACATTAAACTTTTTATTCTGACTTTGGGACATAGCGGGGTGACAGTTGGGAATAATACGAATTTAAGCATCTTAGTATGGACATAAATACCTATTAAAAGTCTAGCAGTAAGTAGTTTAGTACATACCCTTGTGAGAATCATAATAATTATTAAATTAATAACAGCAGCAGTCATGGTTGTGAATATTTTTGCGTGCTTTTTAATGAAAAATCCACTTCCTCCGTAAATAACGGATACCATTGAGATCCGGTATATGATGGTACCCAATACTGCTCCCATTACTATCGTGATCTGTGAACAAAAACCTTATAAAAAGCATCCATTATTTATATGGCCATAATCTCTCTAACTTATGCTCATCTATTTCTGAAGTTGGTCATTTTACCTACTGGTCCTTACTTATAACAGCTAACTACGATTACATTTTTATAGTGTATTTTCATCACCTTTAATCAACTTATTGTATTAAATTAAAGAATTAAAGGATTAAAAAAGTAGTATAGGCGGTAAATAAATATTTTTCTGTCATTGTCTTACCATAAATAAGACAGCGGAGCTTGTAGCGACGTATCTCATGGTCTTCTGCCAGCCTGGCAAGTACGGCTCCTTCTCGCGCGTCACCGGGTTGGTTCGGAATGTCTTCACTGATGTCTCGAACTCAGGACGTGGCTCTTCATCCTAGAAGTAATCAAATGAGATATTTTATTTCACGTAAAATATCCTGTCTATTGCATTTCCGACAGTAGTATCAGGCAAATCTATTAAAAACTTTTCCTTTCACACTTATATCCACATAATAGTAAAACGGTAAATATAAACCATCTTTCTTAAGTTTTCTCAAAACTAGCTCAAGCTACTCGTAAAATTACACGAAGAGTCTCTACAACTTATCGTTTTGAGAACTTCGGGACCCCTGTGCGATAGTAATTTACGTACACGAGTACCTATATTTTAATTTTTAGTTTTTACTTATGATAATAAAGGTAAGTTCCTTACTTGATCGACACCCCCTAAGTCCCATTCCCAACGCAATACTGATTGCTTTCTCTTCCATAGCTCTAGGAATGTTGTTGCTGAAAAATATAAATAAAACCTTTGAAGAATAAAACAGATTTATGTCCAATAAATGTTAATTTTCAAGTTTACACAATAAGCAAGTTATAAAAAGAAAAGTTATATTAAAATTACAACTTACCCCAAAAAGACATAAATATAGCGAAGAACACTGTAGCTGGGTTATCAAATAAATATGATAATTTGGCAAAAAGACAGGAGTCCGACAGCCTTTGGTACTGGCACGCTTTATCGCAGAGCGGGCATAGTGTTATGTTGCCTGGCCCACTGGCATCGCATATCTCCTTGCTGAAAGTATACTTCTATTTAAATTTTGTTATAATCTTCTTAAAAGAAGATAAGTATGCCTAATATAAGTGTGACGGCTGATTCAAGAATGATCTTAATCGCCGTAAAATTACCATATTACTGTTCGATGAGAACGTCTTAGAAATTAAAAAGAAACAAAATTATAAACAATACCTAGGAATGTTATCGTCCGATTCCATGCTGGCTAACCCGTACAAGAAGCACAAAGTGCCAACGATGGCGGGTGCGTACAACATCTTGGTGTAGAAGCCGAGCCAGCAGAAGTAGAGACCGATCTTGTCGCCGAAGTATCGCCGGACGAGCCACAGCGGCTGCTTCTTGTACCACTTGCAAGGTCGAGCCCATTCCAGATAGAGTAACTGAAGGATACAACATTAACTTTAAACTGTAGTTCTATACGTATAGAATAATAGAATAAAATTGGTTTACGAGTATAAAATACTAGTGTTAAAAATTATTACTTCTTAATTTCAGTTCGATGAGTGTTTTTGAGTAAGTCTTCTATATACTCTTTTCAACGAGAAGTCTTTCAATGCTTGCAAGACTACTCCATTTTTTGTGGAAAGTAGTAGTAATAATTTATACAAATTTAATTATTACCCGTCTATCTGTAGTACTTCCATCTGGACTGTCGAGGTCATAGCGTCCCTCGTGGAGAGGAAAGCAAGCGAGGTAAGTGCCATCGTTAAGTAATCTGCGAATACCCATCTAGAAGCAGTAAAATAAATTGTTAATGCAAAATGTAAGGCTTATCATTTTTAATAGCAAGAAAACAAGAAAGATAATTTGAATACCTTAGTTTCAATACTGTCATATCTTGCTCTAAGTAATATCTGCATAACTAACATACTTCTTTGCGCAGGAGAGAATTGCGTGTGGCGATCTTTGACTAGGAACCTATGAAAGAGTAAACCTACAATTACATCGCTTAGTAACTAGTGCCAGTAACAATCGAACCCACGACTCGCAACAATTACTCACGACTACTTGTAACTACTACAATTATTGCAGGACATGGAAGTAGATACTTACTGTTCTTCTCTTCGGACTCCTTTTTGTTCGGTTGCAGCATAAAATGAGGGTTCCGGCTCTATTCGACTATGTTCATATTCGTAGAGTTGCTTCCATTTTCTTCGCCATTTTGAGTACCATTTTCTTTCCTTTTCTGTTATTTTCTCTTCAGACTAAAATGACAGAGTTTACATAATTTCAATCATAATACATAATTTTCTCTATATCAATTTATTTTACGTAATAAATAAATATTAGTACAGAAAACTATTACGTAGAAATTATTGAAATAAAGAAATATGCCCATTATTAAATCATATAATCAACTCTTTTGTTAAAATAGAATATCTGAGAAATAAAAGTTGTTTTTGGAAAATTAGAAGAAAGATAGAACAGAGATTATTAAATTTACCCAAGCTCTTACGGAAATTGTTATAAATCTTTTGGTTGGTAATTTCATTCCCATAACTTCTGCTAGTCTTATTTCAGTCTTCCAAGGTATGTGTATCTTTAGAAACCACGTTTTCTCATCAAAAGATAGACATTTATTTTCTAATTCTAACTCCAGACCTTCTTTTATCAGATTCTCCTGAAACAAATTATAGTAATTCAAACTTATGTAAGAATTCTCCAGTTGATTTTCTCATTGAAATTGCTATTTTAATCTCACTTGAAATATTTTTCTATGATCTCTCTTTTTGGCTTCAGCTTCCGTCATAACTCCATAATCTTCCTCCTCATAAGCCAGAACCATGTCAATCCTGCGTCTCCCGTCTCTAAACATCAAGGAGTCAGGATCAAGTCCCTGGAATAATTTAACGGGTTTTTTAACACTTATTTTATTTTCTATCTTCAGGTTTTATTTTTATGGTTAAATGTTGTTAAAATAGATTGCATTTACTGTATTATATGATTAAATAAAGTCGTCGAGTATCTTACTTCTGGATTTGTTTCTCCTACGTTATCATCTTTTTCGTTGAAATATTTTGGCACCGAGTCTTTTCTGTCATCTGTATTTGCATAATCCGAACTCTTACTGTCTGACTTGGACTGAAAAAGATGCATTTTAATTTACAACCAAAAAAATCAAGGATTTTTTATTTGAAAGAGATATAATACCTGAAAACTAGGCATTGGAGTGGCAGGTTGTGTGGATAGACCTTGCTTGAATTTAGGCGAGAAGGCTCCGGCGGCTGACGTCACGTTTTTCACGAGCCTCCAGCCTCGGTAGCGACGCTCTTCGGAACTGTCTCGCGAACTTGTTCTTAGGTCATCTCGGAGATATATCTAAACACAGACAAATAGGTACTTCGCACTAATAACGCATCCCGATTTTTTCATCTGAATACGAAATATTACATTATATTCTATGTAGACCAAAGGTTACTCGATTATAGAGATGTCTTTACTACAGCCGAATGTCTTCCCCTTTGCTATCAAAGACAAAAGCTTTTAGAAAACAGTGTAGAATGTTAACATCAAAAATTCGAAGATCAGAAAATCACAACACGTACAAATACAGAAGCCGCACAAAATTTTACTTCACAACAAAACATTGGCGAAACTAAAAAATAATACACGAAACACAAAGACGTTGTTAACCTTAAATTCATTTCGAGACAAACATTTGCATTAATAAACGTAATAATTACATCAAACGAACACTTGTACGTAACGAATACATTTTAATACCTTTTTATCACCTGGCTCCACAAAGGGTATAGTCTGAAATATCAAATCTCCGATGTATATTTCAACTAGCTATCACCCGCGACTCGGTCCGCGCGGATTTAAAAAAAAAACTTAATTAGTAGCCTATGTGTTCTTCTAGATAATGTTCTACATCTATGCCAAATTTCAACGAGATCCGTTCATCCGTTTAGGCTGTAAACTATAAAACATCATCCATTGATACTTCTAACTAAACCTTCATTAATAAATTTAGTAAGAAGAACATTTATAATATTAGTAAGAAATAAGATCACCAATTAATTGTAATGTATGCAGCATTGTATTGAAAATTTTTGTTCACTGTGCTTGCGTTTCTCTCGTTATTCGTATTTTTTGCATAGAAAAAGCTATTTTGAACTTCGTGATGCAATAATTGAAATCATACATCAAGAAAATTGCAAAATGTGTAACGCAAATATTTCAGATTTCCAACTCTTTAAATCTGTTTTAATAATGCTATTTTTAAATGTATTCCAAGTACATTATTTCTTGATATCCAAATCCTTAATATACTTATGAATAAAAAACTTCAAATACCTTGTTTCCAGGACTCTCCATGATGTCGGCTAGTGATGTTCCGAATGCTGATTCCGGGGCGAGATTGTCGGATGACCGCCAAGGAGGTTGGAGGTGTAGTGGAGTGCCTGGCAGTGATGTCTCATGGCTTCGACGGTGAAGTCTATTGTGATGCTAGTGGAAGGTAAGTAAAGTTATTCACATGTGTGGTAGCAAGCGAAAAAACAAACGTTTCCTTAAATCTTATGCATTTCACTGATTTGATAATACAAAAAGTTAGGTTGACATTGGTAAATCCTATCATTAAACATACCGTTAAGATTCTATTTATAAAACTAACTTTTTTTGGACTGTCATCCTTGTTTCTTTAGTGCGATTTTTTCTTTTTTTTAAATAATGCCAAACAATCACATTATTAGTCGTGACCAGTGTTAGGGCCTATTTATTACTACATTTGAGTTACTTCGTCTAATTGTGATGAACGACACGACGTTCCCACGTGTAATTTATGTATGTATCACAAGATCTAAACTTGATGTAAAGCCACTAAGACTTTAACCTTCGTTTTAAAAATGTTCTAATATATAAAGATTTCTTTTTATTCTATTTGTTTCTTTTATTGCAAGTTTAGTTTCACTACAGTGAACTCTAACCTGATCATCGTTCCCATTTTCAGATACACTGAGTTCTGTTCTTGTTGTTGATGTTGAACTATTTAGATTGTCCCAAGCGTTATGATTTCTTGTATTAGCTGTTGGTGGCTCCGAAACTGTCCCATCTATAAAAGTACAAAACGGTAAGAAGAAAGGTATTTTAAAATCTAAAATTATTATAATGGACTTTGTTTTACATTATGAATGATGTAAGAGCAATTTGTAGTAAGATAATTTATAGTTACTAAGTATCGTTTATAAAGATAATCTTCTTTAACCAGAATTATCAAGGTGAGTTACAAATGAGTATGGTTTTTTTTACTGTTCTTGTTCCATTCTTTCACGCAATTCACCTATGGATAAGTCTAGAATTATATTTCTTCTTTATCGTACCCTTACAATGTAGCCCTTCATATTCATATTCACTATCACTAGATAAAATTATAACACCATTTTTCTACATAGTTGAAATGTCATACCATCACGAATAACTTCTTTTTTAGCTCTACCTCCGTCGTCGCTATTCCTTCTAGAAGATGCTTCGCTATGGCTTCCGGTAACTCTTTCACTTTCAAATGTTATCCTATCGAGTACAGCTTGATCGTCCAGTCTCTGCCCTGGGATTTGATTGACTTTTCCTAATCCCCGACCAAATTTGTCCAACTGTTCCAAAGCTCTGCGCGGTGCACGCTGGTTTAGTTTCGTTATAACTTTTCTGACGCTGTTCTCTTCAACTTCGAACGGTTCGTGATCACGACCATTTTCCATTGTAATTTGCTGTTAGAAATAAAAAAAAAATATTGTAAATGCAATACTGTTAGAATCTGGTAAAATTGTAGTTACAATGAAAAATAAATTGATCTAATAACACAAAAGAGATTTAAATAAATCAGTTATTGTTTGGATTACATTGGATCATGGTTTGGTTCGTGTTGTCTTATCGTTTCATACATAATATTAAATGTATTTTAATACTAATCAAGATAAAATTTAATCTCAATTTATAGTGTAAAAACGTGGGAACAACACAGTCTGTGCTATTGATTTACTATCAACAATGCCACTATAACGACACCCATGATTACATCAAGCGTATGATTCGCATCTTCAGCTCTATTACGATAGTTTCACACGAGGACAGCACAATCCAGAACAGTTAGATATAACAGTATTGCTATTGTTAGAACACGTCGCATTGATTGTATACGGACGAACTTTGTTGCACGGCGCTGCTATGGTTGGTAGTTTTGTCAGAAAATATGTAATACTTACTGAGGCATGGGAAAGGACAACAAATTACCTGACAAGATAGTCGACAAGAAACTTGTGACAATTTTATGATATTGTTAGGAGAGTTAATGAATTATTGTGATTTACTTTCACTTATAGCCAGGACAGATGACAGCGACTTTCTGGATACGACGTTAACCTTCCTAGTCGCCAAACCTCGTGCCCAACTTGGCGACTTAACTGACACAAACTTCCTGATACGACACAGAATGCCACGGCCCCCGGTACGCAAATCTTTGAGTGTGCGTTTAAACGTTTGCAGTACTGCATTGCTATGTCTCACTGTCTTCGTGTGAAGCATAATGCTCTGACATTGATGACATGTCATATTGACGACGTGTGGACGTGTCCGTAGAAACATTTACCTAAATATAGCTCTATATGATACTATCGATTTGTGTACCGTAATGTAGGGAAGGCCAATGTGGGTCAATCAGCTGTATGGGGATGGTTTGAGTTAGTGTTGTCAATATTTTATTTGTTTTAGGTAATTGATTTTTATGCCGTGACGTATTCAATTTTATAACTGATGGTTAGTGTCATCACCTTGATTACTGCTATTTAATACCTCGGAGGAAAATGTTTTAGGAATTAATTGTTAACACTATAAGATAGGATATGTTTTTGCTTTATAACGTCAATATTTGTACGTAAATCGGGAATTTTTTAAGTTATTAAATTAGAATTATAATTTTTAGAATTTCAATAGTAGCTTATGTATAACTAGCTTTCGCCCGCGACTCCGTCCGCGTGGTATTAAAAAAAAGTGAGTAGCCTTTGTGTTCTTCAAGACTATTCTCTACATGCCAAAATTCATCAATATCGGTTCAGCCGTTTAGGCTACAAACTCTAACAAACATCCATCAATCTAAACTTTCGCATTAATAATAGAGAAGTGTATAAGTGTATAAGCTAATGTAATAATAGTACATTTAATATCATTATCCACTTGCCCTTATCCCTTACGGAGGGTCGGCACAGTATGTGCTGCTCTTCCATACATCTCTATCAGCCGTCATATCTGAATCCACTCCTTTCTTAAGCATATCCTCTTTCACACAATCCATCCATACCTTCTTCGGTCTTCCTCTTCCTTTGTAGCCATCCACATTTAATCTTAACACTTTCTGGTTTATGTCCCCATCATTTCGTCGCATAACATAGTAATAGTACATTTAACAGAAATATTTAAATAACAAACATTTGCTTATCAATTGTAATTTAGTTAAAAGCGAAAGTCCGGAACTTGTAATACCTATGATTATTTGAAAATAACGGTTTAACTGTTATTCTCCGTATAAGCAATTACTTAATGGTTTATTTCAATTTAATACAGTTGCGTCATTTTTTTTTAATTTCAAGCTATTCTTGTGATCCACCTAGATTTTATATTATTAGCTTTCGCTCGCGACTCTGTAGCGTGGAATTAAAAAAAAAAAATTAAGTCGCTTATGTATTCTTCCAGACTATGCTCTATATATATGCCAAATATCATCGAGATCCGTTCCGCGGTTTAATCTACAAACTCTAACATTCCATCCTCCATTTAAACTTTACTGTTTATAACATGAGTAAGAATCAATATAGTTAGTAAGATTTCAATTTAATACCAAAAGTTACTTCAAAAAGACCCAGCAATAGCACTTTTAATACTTACAAATTGTATCATTTAATTATTCTTCATCCTTCTCTTATACCGCGATTAATAGTTAATTTTCACAAAACTATCGACCGTAGTCAATCGTGTTGAGTAGTGAATTAAATGTGTTAGAGAATCACCTGAACTGAAGTGAACTCGCACATCAATCACCATTACACCCACGCCTGACAAGTCTGCCACTACTCTAGTTAGTTTCATTCGACAGTGGTACTGATACGTTTTTCTGCACGAATTCATGTATGGTGCGATTTATAGCGAGGATATCGCTTATGAATTATATTTACTAATCATACTAATATTATAAATGCGAAAGTTTTGATGGATGACTGTTTGTTAGAATTTGTAGTCTAAACGGTTGAACGGATTTCGATGAAATTTGATATATAGATGTAGTGGGTAGTCTGGAAGAACACATGGATTACTTGGTTTTGTTTTTTTTTCAATACCACGCGTACGGAGTCACAGGCGAAAGCTAATTATAAATAAATGCATTGAACTTTTGCCACTAAAATACATATACATACTGTACAACAACTTTCTTCATTTATTGATCACAAAAGAGCATAGACCACCTATCCATTAACTTCATATTACTTCCCATCTCTCCTTATTAAGTAAATAAGGACTTCGGGTATCCGAACTACTTTCAACGGTTACCTTGAGGTCAGAATTTTCACATATTGTGCTGCTTTAGATCTAATCGTGTAACGTGTTTAGCAAACAGATGATTTTGGGATCTACTTCAATTAAGGGTAGAATCTATTTTAAAAACCTTTAATCGCTTTCACTTGGACCCCACCTTAGTGTTTCGCGTAGGTGTAAAGACGATTGTTGGTAAATTATTCTGTAACGCTGAAGACAACCTCGATGCTATGAATTATAAATTGAAATGGCATTTAGCTTCGTGTGGAATAGTGACCGTATTGAAAAAAATGGATTTTATTAGATCGGTTTAAATAAATTATAACTTAGAATTGTAAAAATTTAATTAAATTTATGAATAACTTATTATTTTGACTACGGAATCGGGAGAGAACAATTTAATTTATATGAATAAACAATTAAAAAATGAATGAATAAATAAACTTGTTATTTAAAATAAAAATTTGTTTAGTGAAAAAACAAACATTACTCTTACATGAGTGTGGTGCCGGAGGCCCAACTTTAGTCCTATTGCCTTCCCATGCTTTTCTTAGAAGGAAAAGGATGGGAAGGGAACGTGAATTTGACGCTAGAGAAGATGTATAGGAACGGGAAATATCCTCTTTATGTGCGTTTCCTCCGTCAATTAAAGGTAAGCAACGCATCCGCTATTGCGAATGTCTATCTAGCGGCCGCTTCGCTATTTTGGCGGATTCAGGTGGCCGCTTGATCCTTTGCCACTTTATGATATAAAAAATATTTACTTACCTAAATAAATAGCATTGCATCAAACAAAACTATCCACTACGGAAGTTCGCGAAAGAAAAGATTTTACTTTTACCGAACAGCTTTATTATAATGTAAGAAATCACGAATAATAAATCAATTTAATTCCTTATCACCAATTTGAAGTTTTATTACTTATAAATAGCAATTGCAGGCATATTATTACGTACTTTAAAGGTATTTTTTATTAGTATAATAATGTAGTCACGTCCCATATACTATTGTCACGATTTTTAAAAACGTTTCGTCTAGTATTTCTACCGTCTACAAAATCTATTGACAATTTTATATATTACATATTTATAATAATAGGTTAATCATGAATATTCGTTACATACAATTGACATTGGAGCAAATACATTTGATTTATATATTTAGAGCCCAATTCAAAACTAATTTTCATCGTTATATCTCATGTATTTGTTGGGTTGAAAACTAAATAAAAGACTGATTCAGGTGATAAATTGACGTTAGTAATACACGCAGTCATTAAATTGCAGTTGGCAAACTCCATCAATCGCTTAAAGCACTTTGTACCATATTTTGAAAGTAAGGTGTTAAAACATTCCAATTTATGTTTTCGTGTATTTTTGTTAAACAATGGCGTACGGTTGCTATAAACAAATGATTTTAATGTCGTTCGTCTGCTTTTCATCGAGATCTCAATAAAATTGCCATTAAATTCTATACTTTTAACAAACAAAAATCGGTCGTTATCCGTGTGTTACAGTTAACTCAGCTCTAGTGAAGATGACAAATCTCCAAACACACAATTCTTTTTTCAAAAACTAGTTATTTAAAAAACAATAATTCCAGATGACTTCATCCATATTACAAGGAAAGAATAAGAGTTGGTTGTCATTTGTTTCTTATTTCTCACTCTTCAAGATTAATTCAATTAAAATAAACAATCGAGTGTTTATATTTAGTAACAGATTCGTGAACATAAAGTCACTACGGTAAATATTGGCCAGTAAAAATCACCACTTCTTTCGTTATTTACGAATAACTGGATCTTTATTTAACCTACTTACTGATTGAAACAAACTAATTTAAGATATATTTGCACAACATTGACATCTTTCATATGGAGATCCACTGAAGAAAACGCGAATAAATCTCTCACGATATCGAGTTAATCTATACAATATTATAAAGAGGAAAGATTTGTATTTTTGTATGTATTGTAACAAAAAACTACTGGCCCGAATTAAAAATTCTTTCGACATTAAAAAAATACGTTAGTAGAGAGTAACATAGGCTACATCTTTTTATTATTTTTAATTTTATGTGCGTAATCGAGAGCAACAGCTAGTTTCAATTATAAATAGGATCTTACGTCTCAGAAACCTGAATCCAAATGAAAATTATATAATATCAGTATCATATATCTTTCACC